TACGACCGGCTCCGGCCCCTCTCCTACCCCGACACCGACGTCATCCTCATGTGCTTCTCCATCGACAGCCCGGACAGCTTAGGTGAGTGTGGCCGCGATGCAGGGACCCCCCCCCAGAGCTTCCGGAGGTCACGGGGGCTTGGGAGAGACCGGAGCGTTAGGCTGGGTGGGCACTGGGGTATGAGCAGGTGGGCCGCAGTCTGTTAAGAGCTGAGGTTGTGTTCCCAGTCCCTGACGCTGCAATAGGGGTCTCTCCCGGTCTGGAGAGGTTAACTGGGGGAACTGGTGGGACAGGGGGGGTTAACGAGGCACTGAAAGAGACGGCCGATGGGCTGCTGGCATCCTTACTGTACTGAACGAGTCTCCCCCCCCCCCCATGCTCCCTGCAGAGAACATCCCTGAAAAGTGGACCCCCGAGGTCAAGCACTTCTGCCCCAACGTTCCCATCATCCTCGTGGGCAACAAGAAGGACCTGCGCAACGACGAGCACACGCGCCGCGAGCTGGCCAAGATGAAGCAGGTACGCCACGCGGGCTCCGGTCGGGGGCCGCCGTCGCCCGCGGCGATCCGGCGAGTCCCCCCCCGGCTGACCCCCCCCTCGCTCTTCCTCTGCCTCCGCAGGAGCCGGTGAAGCCGGAGGAGGGCCGGGACATGGCCAACCGCATCGGCGCCTTCGGTTACATGGAGTGCTCGGCCAAGACCAAGGACGGCGTGCGGGAGGTCTTCGAGATGGCCACACGGGCAGCGCTGCAGGCCCGGCGCGGGAAGAAAACCTCTAAATGCCTTCTTTTGTAAACTCCCACCCCCCCACACACCCCCCCACCCCCCTCCCTCTTTTTAAAGACGACGCTTAACGCGAGGCGCCCCAGGAGCGCGGCGTCTGTCCTCGCGGGGAGACGGGGGGGCGTCCGGGCTGCTCCCAGAGGCGCCCGCTGCGCTCGGCCCTGTCCCCCGCGCCTCTGACTGGACTCGAACCTCATCCCGCATCGTGTCTGTTGTTCCCAGTGCCGTTGTGTCCCGCGTGCCCCGCCCGACTTTTATGTCCATTTCCATCGTTGCCCCTTTTTTTTTTTTTACCCTTTTACTTTTAAGGAGAAAACAAGGAAACGTCTTTACCAGTATTTAAGTAAGAAAAGCTCTACCGATTTTTTTTTTTTCCGGTCTTGTTTTTTCCCCACAAAGCCGTGCCGTCGCCCTTTCTGAGCTCTGGCGACGATTGCCGAGACGCCGCGGTTCAGAAGGGCGCCCTCACACCCGCCGTCTCCTCCTTCAGGTCTCCTGTCCTCTCCGTTACGCCTGTCACTTTTTTTTTTTGTAAAAAGAAAATGGATTTCCTAATGGCTTAACTTGTAGTCTCTCTGTATGTATAAACAAATTTTTAAGAAAAAAGTGGGGAAAAAGACATACATAACAAAAATAAAGGGGTTTAAGTGATGCTAAAAAAAAACCATGCTCCCGTGCTGTACGCGAGCTTATACACAGGGACTTAACTGGAATCTGGATTTGTATGACCTGGGCTTGGTAACTTTCTGAAATAAATAACTTTATATAACAAGTGTATCCAATTTTACCTGCTGACAGTGCTGCCGACAGGGCAGAAGGCAGGCAGCCTGTCTTCAGTGGTGCTGCTGCCCCAGGAGGCCCGGCTGGGGTCCCGTCTCCCCCCCGCCCCCGGGGGGATGGGAGTTTTGAAGGGCTGATTACGCACCCCATGGCTGGAGTGCTCACCCCCCCGTTTCAGCTGGGGACAGGACACCCACATGCTGGCCATGTGACCTAGCGGGCTGGAGTGGGAAGGAAAGAGCGGGTCGTGGATTTTCCGCCACTGTGTGCTTCCCGGAGCCGAACCGCCGGCTCGTCCCGCCAGCCCCCGGGACAGCCGCTCCGCCTCCAGCGCCACGGCGCAGGTCCGCAGTCCCCGCCCCCGAAGGCCCAAGCCCCACAGGTTCCCCCGCACGCTCGATTCGAACCCGGGACCTTGTTGCCGAGAGGCAGCGGTGAGGCCCGGGACGTCGCGAACGTGGCGTCAGCAGGCGGTATACAGTGCGCGGCCCCCCCCCCACTTCAGCCTGTCGATCTGAACCTGTACGGCTTCTGGCGTGATCGTGCATCGGCAGCCCTCCGAGAGGAGAGCCGTCGCGTGCTTCTGGAGCAGCTGCTCCTCCTCCCTGCAGCCCCCAGGGCCTCCTGGGGCCAGATCAAGCTGTCCCGGTCTTCAGCTCCCAGAGCCTGAGCGGACGAGGACGTGCTGGAGCTCAGTCCGGTCGTACAGCTCCTGGTCCTGCACCTCCCCTCCCTTATCCTGTAGTTCATCGTTGTCCGTGTTCTCTTAGGCTTCACGGGGGCTGTTTTTCTCTTTACGAAATAATTTCCCCCCCACGCTCGTTCGGAAGAGGTGCTTATGTGGACATGTTGGTTACATCTTCCGGCCAAGGTAGAGGTTAAAAAGGCACACACACAGTTGGGATACATATTCATAAAACTGTCGCATTTCATTAAAGAGGCATTGGTATAGCTTACAAGTAAGCTCTCATCTGGAATGTTGTGTGCAATATTGGTCACCGTGTTATAGAAAATAAACTGTTGTTCTGGAATCGGCCCAGAGGAGAACCAACCACACAATCACAGTAAGAGAATGAAGAGAACTGGGTCACTTTCAGGACTGTCTCACACTGACAGGCTGGAGGAACTTAGTCTCTTCAGTCTGAAGGGAGTGTCCCACACTGCCAGGCTGGAGGAACTGAGTCTCTTTAGTCTGAAGGGAGTGTCCCACACTGACAGGCTGGAGGAACTGAGTCTCTTTAGTCTGAAGGGAGTGTCCCACACTGACAGGCTGGAGGAAATGAGTCTCTTCAGTCTGAAGGGAGTGTCCCACACTGACGGGCTGGAGGAAATCAGTCTCTTCAGTCTGAAGGGAGTGTCCCACACTGATGGGCTGGAGGAACTGAGTCTCTTCAGTCT